AAAGTTGTGACCTTTTAAAATTGTTTTTTGGGGAATAAAAAACTAAAAACAATGATAACTTTTTAACTAGATTTTTAAATACGCTGTTACAGCATATTTTTTTGAAATGATATTTAAAATTTATCGATAAACTTTGATTCTAATAAATTTTGATAAACAGACTCAAATGCTTGTTCGCTCAAATAGACCTTTGTTTGGATAATCAATTGACATCTTTTTTAAAAATTTTACTGTATGCTTTAGTAAAGCGTGTACTTCAGGTAATACTCTTAATCCAAGTTTATAGAAGGCCTCTTGATAACTTTTTACTTTTATTTCGTAGTCGGGTTCTAAAGCCATCGCTACACTTTAATTTCTCTCCAGCATTTAAATGCCTGTAGTATGAAAGAAAGATGTTTAGATTATTATCTAGTAAAAAAGACTTGATCAAATTGTTCAAAATATTATCAAGAGGTTTTGAACACTGTTCTCCCTTAAATTGCCCACCATGAAGCCTTTGTCTTTTAAAGCCCAGTTTTTCATTCCACTCCTGTGCTTTAAAACAAAATTCTTTATATTTTGTATATAAATTCTCTAGATTTTGTATATAAAAAGATAAAAAATTTGTTGGTGTTCCCATTATAAAGGGGTAGCTCCAACGGAGCAAGAAGTTTTATAACCTTTATTTCATTTGGTAAATCGATAAATGGTTGATCTACACAGTTATGCAGATAAATTTGATTTTTAATTTTGTTTCTGATCTTTCAAAATTTTGTTTGCTAGCTATTCATCAAGGACAAGGATGAGTTGAGGCTGCAATTTCTATTCCAAAAAAATATTGCCTAACTTCTTATCGAAAGCACAAAAATATTTAATACTGTTTAAATTAATAAAATTGATTATTATTTTCATATTTGCGTAAGACTTTTGCAAATTTTCTACAAGTGCAATAATAATGGGTTTGTTAAGCCCACCATCTTTGTATTTTTCTTTACATATGCCTTCGTTATAACTAAATTTTTTTACCTTAACTTTAGATATTTAAGATATTTAAACAAATTTTCAAAAATCGAACTCCTCCATTAATGCTAACTTTTAAAATGTACTCACTTAAAATATTTCCTTTTTTGACAACATTTTCTACCGGTCCTAGAATATCTTTGCAATAAGTCATCACCTTTTCACTCTCATTAAATTTAACAGATCTTACATCAAAGTATTCATTTACAATAGCGTCATATTCAATCAGTTTGTTTCTTGTATTTTTTTCAAATGATTTGTGACCTTTCCAACTTCTAAAAGTACTTAAAACTTTAGCTTCTTGTGTGTTACAAAGACCACATGCATTTTTTCATTTGTTCACTTCATTTGTAGGTATTAGTGAACTAGTAAACAATGCTTTGGAAGAAGTTATTGGTCTTTGTATACTAATTGAAGTTCTGGATGTTGCAACCTTAATTAAATTGCCTTGTTTTTAAAAACTTTTGTTTAAGTGTTGTCGAACATTACAATTCGACACCTCTATCGTCTAAATAAAAATCTACTATATAAAGTTTGTAATTGCTTGGGGATTATGATTATAATTTAGTTTTAATAGGAACTTAATAATGAAATTAATATTTTTTTACCTTCATCTAGTTGCTTTATTAGGTTTTTCCTTCTTTTTATAATACAACAGATGTGGGCTAATCCTGGTCCAATAACATTTAAACATCTTTTACAAACTTTACCTGGTCCAGGAGAGGGTAAAACTTTCATGTTGAGTTTTGGTCTTCCTCTTTTTTCTTTATTTGATCCGCGTGTTAAATTACTACTACAACAAAAAATATATTGACAAAACTGTTGGTTTCTTGTAAGAATAATTTCTTTGATCTTAGAGAAATCAAATGGCTTACATAAAACCAAATTGGTGTTACCTTTTTCCATTTTTACAAAATTAGTTCGACATATTCCACAAATTTCATTTGGAAAACGGGTATCATTTAAATTAATATTGTCAATGAAATATTTTTGAATTCTCAATAAAACTACATTTCTTCTTGTACTTTACTTAAATTTTTTTCTTTTTCAAAACAAATCAAACAAACTTTACTCCTACTTTGACTGTGACTTAGCCTTGATTACGGCATGTTAAAAAGTAAAATAATAATTAATATTTAAATTTTCAAAGCGCAACTAACGACGTTACAAACGGAAACTAAACACAAATTACAATAATGCATAGTATTCAAAACTCTTTAGAAGTAAAAGTTATTTTTAATTCACCAATTTCAAATATTTTAATAAAGATTGATTTTGAGGATTATTTAAATTGTCGTGATATAAACGAAAACAGATGTTTGTAAAAGTAAAACATGTAACATTTTATATAACTCATAGAGAAGAATATTTAAAAAATCTATAAAAATTCTATTCTATATATTCCTACATAATTCATTGTGAAAAGTGAGTTTGTTAAATATGAAACAGTTATTATTAACTTGTTATAATAAATATCACTAAAAACCACAACAAAAAAAATAAAATCTTCTTTTTATTTTTGCCCCCGATCATAATAAAACTCTAAGAACACGCCGCCCTAAAAACTTTTATGAAAATTTTTTTCTTTTCATATTTATTAGAATCAAAATTTATCAACAAATTTTAAATATCATTTCGAAAAAATATGCGGTTTAAAAGTTTTTACCTTTTAAAATTATTTTTTGGAGTTAAATGGGGATTAAAAAACTAAAAAACGATAATTACTTTTTAACTAGAAGTGATTTTTGTATGAAATTTTAAGTCTGTCGAATAATTTTAACCTAGATAAAGATATTATGATATTATGAAAAGATATTATGAAAAAAAAATTTTATTTTCAATTATACCATACAAAAATTTTTTTTTTTTCATTATATTTTTAACTTGGTTAAAATTATTCGACAGACTTAAAATTTCATACAAAAATCTCTTCTAGTTAAAAAGTAGAAGGACTCAAATTTCAGGTTTAATATTGTTTCCAATCTCCGATCGTCGCAATTTTTTCTAAACATTCTTATTTTGCATTAGCATCATTATTATAACATTTTATAAAAGCTCCATTTTTGGAAGTTATCTATCTTAAACACTAAATATTCTGGACCAGCTTGTTTAACCTCCTTTTATTTTTTTAGATATCGACAAAATATATTCAAAATGTAGGTCATTACAAAAAGTACGGTGGTTTTGAAAATGTAATCCGTTTATGGTGTACTTTTTTTTTCCTAAGAAATATTTACACTAGGGTGTGGAACCAAAGGTTCAATTTTTTCTAAAACATTCTTAT